CAGCGCTGGGTAAATTTGTTTCAAATCAATTCAACTAAACGCCTATTTGTCTAGAATTCCCATTTTGATGAACAAGCAGGATTGCACCGCTAACATTTCATTTACAGCAGAACAGCTGCTGGGCCTTAAGCATTTTCATATCTTAGGCATCTTTTGGTCTTCAGATTGCTTTTCAGCATTTTCAGAGGTTTTTGTTTGTTTTGTTTTTTTGTTTTAGTTTTTGTTTTAGTCCATTTAAATAATGGCAGTTCTGCATGACTTGGCTAAAATAGCCCTCAAAATTCTAAAAAATGAAGCAAATGAGGAAAAAAATAGGCACTCAAAAATGAACAGGAAAAAGCTTAAGAGAGCCTGAACCGAGCCTGTGAGGTAGCAAGCGTACATTTTATGAACACAGTAATCAAATGTGCGATATTAGGCAAATTGAGTGCTAGAAAACTCCCTTCAGAGAACCGGCTTTTCCCAGGCACCGAGGGCACTGGGGGAAACTGCCCTCCGTGAGGTGGGGGCTCCCTGAGGGCCTCAGCCGGGGGCTCCAGAAAGGCCAGGCTCCAGCGGGAAGAGGGACGCTTCCGCCTTGGTTCTCAGCCTGCCCTGGGCTCCGGGGAGCAGGCCAGCGCTGGGAGAGAACCCCCTTTTCTCCACGTCCCACTTCTGCGGGCCAGCACTATAATTTGCAGGTGCCAGCTGCTTCCAGGTCTATTTCTGCAGAACAGCGGAAGCAGGCAGTGCAGGACGCAGAGCCCACCACCCTCTCATTTCTCATGTTGTGAGTGGAAAGGAGCAGGGGATACCATTTTTTTCTCCATTTCCTTTTAAACTTGGGAGATTCTTCCCAGGAAAAGTACCCCGTGGAAGCACAGGTGCTGGCATTCGTATTCACCCAGGTGATGCACTGGTTTTGGGCACATCTCATATTCAAGGCCCTGCACATATTCACACACTCACACACCTGCGCTACACATAAAAGATTTGTTCATTAAAGCAGTGGGACAGTGGATTAACTACACTCCAGAAACTCAGTGTGAACCGTCCGACCGGCTGGCACATCAGAGGCCAGTGGGCTGTGCTCACCTCCCCAAGAACGGGAGTGGGAGGCTGCAGGCCATCTCCTCACCTTTGTCCCTTCTGATGTCCCCCCCCCCCCCCCCCCCCGCTGTCATTTGATTCCTCTCCTTGGGCTTCCCATCAACCTCAGAATAGCCAGGAGCCAGGCTTTTGAGCCAGGATTTAGGTATCCTTGAATCCCTGAAGCTGTGCAAAACTGGGTGTGCATGAGCATATGTTTGGGCCCAGTTTTTTTAAAAATTACACTCTCACCAAATATTTAGCCCAGGGATGTAGAACCACACGAAAGTGGAGGCGGGCTACATGCATGTGCCTATGAAAAGCAGTGGGCAGCTGGGTCGAGCTGCCCACATGGTCTTTCTACTTCCTGAGCTGGCCTGTCCCTGTATTTCCTGGGAGGGTCCCTCCCTGTTATTTTCCTCCCACAATCCCAGGCTTCTGCTGGCTTTGGGCCACCACCCAGCTATGGAGTTCAGCCCACAGAGCTGTCTGGGCTTGGAGCCCCAAACCTGGCAGCAAGTGAGCCAGACAGAGGCCGCACCAGGCACACGCGCTCCAGCGAGGAAGCCACATAGCTGACCTCATGGCGTGGCTGTGGCTGTGGCTGTGGCTGTGGCTGTGCGCTGGGGCGGGGGCGGGGGCTGCCTCGTCCCCCCACCCCTTCTTTCTGGTAGTCAGGAGAGCGGCCTTCTCCAACTGCCCACTTCCCCTCATCAGCATGTCACCAGCTACCCAGGCGGAGAGTGGAGGAAGCTCTCCCACTTGAGAGGGTGGTCTCAGTCCCATGGGAGTGGTGGGTGCGGCTGTGGTCTCCGGACTCCACTGCTCCAAGCGATCGTGTCACTTTTGTGAAAGAGAATTCATTGCTGGATGTGCCTTTCCCGGATTCTATTGGTTTCCTTGGAAGAGCTGACCCCTGAAAGCCTTTCTGACTTTAGCTCACAGCCTTCTCGGTGAGGAGCCTATGCAGGAACCCCCTCGGTCATTCCCCCCTCAGCACTGGGTGCTCTCGGTACACGAATCTGTGGCGGGAGCTTCCGTGTGTAATGCCCGTCACTATTAGCGGGTGAGTTCCTGTGGAGCAGGAACATGTCTGGCCTGGTCACCGTTCCATCTTCAGAACGAAGGCCAGAGGCTGGCACAGAATATGACTACTCAGTTGGTCCAATGTAACAGGTGTGATGGTGCATCCTGAACTTGGGAGACACCCCATAGAGAAGACCTGGGTGAGTAGCACTGATACAGAAGACAGGGGTTTTAGCTGTCCAGCTCTATGTGAACACACACGCTGGTGTACCTCCAGAAAAGTCGCTTTTATCTACGCTACAGTAACACAGCAAAGTTTCTAGTGTTCAACACCCGACATCCAACGAACAATCATGACACTCAGCGCCAGACCCTCTTTGAGGAGCTGGGAATAAAACCATGAGAAGTGCAGAGTCCTGAGGCTGGAGGGGAGCGTGCGGGAGAAGGGAGGTCAGAAAAGAAGGCCCGAAGGGAGGCCTTGCAGGCCATGGCGGGGAGAGGGACAGGGGCCACCTGCCTCTGCACTGATCAGGCCGCCCCAGGACAGGTCTCTCAGGTCTGGCTGAGTGTGAGGGAGACACTGGGGCCAGGAGAGCCACACACAGTAAGGGTGCTCTGACCCACATCACGGGCTGGGCAGGGGGGCTGCAGAAACCAAGGATGCTCGGTTTGGACACGAGCAGGGGGGGGAAGGACCTGGAAGAGGGATGCGCCTGACTTGCCTGTGGATTCTGGGCAGCCCGAGAGCTAGACCCTGCACTAGTGAGTGAGAGCTCTGGGGAGGCCGATTTGGATGTGTCTAGAGGAAGCAGAACAGACATAACAATGAAGCCCGTGAGATGCAAGGAGGCCGCCTGCCGTGGGAGGGACAGAGCCTCGTTACTGGGATGTTCCTGCGGATTGAGGAGGCCAGATGTTAAAGACAGAGGGTATTAGACACGCATACTGTCACTGTACTTCGCCGGCTGAGTCCAAGTCACCCTCTTGGCGGCCAGGCGTGTCTTTGAGAGCCCGTGGGTGCACAGACTCGGTGTGGCTCACACGCACTCCCAGGCTGGGCGTCCAGGCAGAGGCCGGCTCCATGTGTGCGAGCTTGTGTGCAGCTGGGCTGCAAGGCCTGGCTCTGCCCGCCCAGCAGCAGGGAGCTGCTCACACCCTGGTCGGGCAGAGTCAGCGGCGGGGCCAGCACAGTTGTGAGTCCATCCAGCACAGAGAAAGGGAGAGCTGCCTCCACAGGTGGCACCCAGCAAGCATCCAGGGAACCGCCTCCTCTCAACCACCTGGAGAGGAGGGCGGACGATAAAGAACTCGCAGGCGTCTTCCTTCGCCTGTTAACTCTTCGGGGAGCTTCGCACACAGGACAAATGGCAGCGAGGCTGCTCCTGAGGCCCAACGTTCTTCGAGAGCTCGCTGTGCAGATGACTGGGCCCAGGGTCAGAGTCGCAAAGCCATGCAGACCCGGTTGCCATTGTCAACCTCAGGCCCCTCGGCTCTGACACGCCTGCACTTTATCCCTTTAGAGAGGGATTAGCATGCCTGTCAGGCTGTTACAATGCATGGCTGCTCTGAAGAGCTAGGAATTTGATTCTCAATCATTAGGGGCAGCAAGAAGTGTGCTTTCTGATGAAAATAAAAGTCGTGCTGAAAAGGCAATCGCTCACTAAGCAGATCCTCAACCCTGCTGCTGACAGAGAGGGTGTTAAACGAGGCAGAACCTACCACGGTATCAGAAACGTCACCAGCTATGACCATGACAGTGATAGTAACAGCAGAAATGGTCACAGGCGATGACTGGCCTCTCCTCTGCTCAGGAACCTGCTGTGGCTCCCAGATACCCAGTCCCCTTTCTCAGCTGGGTATCTGGAGATCAAGAGGGACCAGGTCTTCTCTGCCTCACCACGTGGCCCATGCCAACACCACCGATCTGGTCCTCCTGCAGCTAATTGTGTCATCAGACCACAGGGCCTATGGGGCTCCTGCCACTTGCTCAGGCCTGGGAGGCCACAGCCTGTGTCTTCAGCCTCGTGGTTGATAGTAACTGTAGCCACCATTCACTGAGGTTGATGTCCCAGGCACTCCCTACTTATCTGATTTAAGATTCACAGCCACCTCATTTTCCTAACGGAGAAAACTGAGGGCCTCACTCTCCTGGATCACCTGGTTAGTGAAAGGCAGAGGTTAGGTCAGCGGTTCTCAACCTGTGGGTTGCGACCCCTTTGGCGGTCGAACGACCCTTTCACAGGGGTCGCCTAAGACCATTCTGCATATCAGATATTTACATTACGATTCATAACAGTAACATTACAGTTATGAAGTAGCAACCAAAATAATCTTATGTTTGGGTCACAACATGAGGAACTGTATTTAAAGGACCAGAAGGTTGAGAACCACTGGGTTAGATCCAAACTCAGGCCTGTAAAACCAAGCGGTCTGTGTTCTTAACCACCCGGCCACTTAATTGGAGAGTAAGATGGGACCCGACAGGAGGCTACACTCATTGTTGTCTTGACAATGCACCCTCCCCAGCTCCTCCAGCCGGGTCCTCAGACTGCCACAGAGGCAGGCGGTCCTGGGAGTTACCCTCAGTTCTCTGGGGCCTGGAAAGCAATGAAAGCTCTAGAGTAATTCAGTGCTGATGGACGCTGGAGAACACATGCAGGAATTGGGAATAGGGACAACAGCGTGTCGGCCCTTGGAGCCCAGAGGCACGAGAAGGCCCCCACAGGGAGGCTGGCTGGCCTGGCGCAGGCAGAGGAGGAGGACGGCAGAGGAGGAGGACGTGGGAAGGAGCAGGTCGGGGAGAAGTGGGGATGACGATGGGAGCGCTGGGAAGTCTGATGAAGGGCCCGCGCCACCCTTCCCTCTCCTGCCCCAGGACTCATAACAACGAGGACTCAGACTGGTACCTGGGTTCCTGGCTTCAGGGTTGGCACAAGGTCTTTAATCATTTTGGCTTCAGAGACTGTGACGCCGCCCACCACGAAGAGGATCAGGAGAGGGTGGTCGCTGGGATGAGGCCGGCTCACCTGCAAAACAAACATCCTCTGTTAGCGATTAGAGGTGTGAAAGGCGTATGAGCCCATGGACCAGTAAATGCACACGTCTCCTTATGACATCCCTCCAAATATTTTATTGAAAGAAAATTTCAAGGAATGGGGGCTATTCCATAAGAAAAGAAGATGGAGGGGCACCTTATTCCTTCCTTATCGGTCTCCCGCTCTCAGCATAAACGCGCCCCTTCTTTGTTACACAGCTCTGTTTACTTCCTAGGAAGCACCTGCCACAGTGTGGGATTCACCTGTTTGTGGCCGTCTCCTCTAGTAGAACATAAACTCACAGGACAGGGACCTTGCCTGCCGTTCCCAGTTGAATTTCCAGCTTAGTGCAATTTCTGGCACACAGTAGGTGCTCAATAAATATCTATGGAATTGATGAGTAGCCAAAGCCCTAAGTAGGTGTTGGTGAAGGATGTGAAAAGATGAAAGAGTCTGCCATCCACCCTTGAGGAGTTACTCTACACCAAGCACGTCAAACTCGCAGCCCGCGGGCTGCATGCCTCGTTTATTTGGCCCGTGCTAGCCTTTGAGTTTGATTTGCTTGCTCTGCATGGACCACTCCACCAGGGGCTGCAGAGAATTCCTCCTGGTGCCTTCCAGTTTCACCCATGAGCCAAAGTGTTATTATAAACTAAAACACGAGTGACTCACAGCAACCCCTCAGGAAATGCAAAATGCACGGCACATTGACTTAGTGACTAACTGAAGGGACAGCACGTTTGAGCCCCATCTGGAAGCCAGAGTTGGTTGGTTGAGGAGTGGCAGGAGGAGGGGAGGGGGTGTGAGCTGAGTTTCGGAGGCAAGCAGTCACCAGCTGGATAGAGCAGGCCGGAGGCCCAGCCAGGACGCGGGGAGCAGGGCACCACGACAGGAAGGATGCGGCCAACCGCTCAGGTAGCCACTGAAGCCAGAGGGGGGAGAAACAGGCTTCGGCTCCAGAGGTGGAGAGTGTATTCGCTAATTCACACTCGCCAATGTGCAAGCCCCACTGGGGCTAATGGACAGTCCCCAGGAGCAGTGGGGCAGGGCAGGCTGACAGGGAGCCCTTTCTCTTAGCCCTGCTCCAGCTCCTTTCTCTGTTGGGTTCTTCTGGCTGCCTTCCCTGAATATACCCACTTTTCAACATCTTATTTTAAAAACACAGAGAGAATTCGCTAAGTGCTTTCCATTATATAAGCTACTCCTTGGCTTCTGGAGACGAAATTCAGCATGGAAAGGAAGTAAGGATGGAAGGAAGGAAGGAAGGAAGGAAGGAAGGAAGGAAGGAAGGAAGGAAGGAAGGAAGGGCGAGCATAGAGCTGTATCTCTAAACTTCTCCAAAATGGGTGGTGGTGAATAAATACTGAGAAAAGTTAGGAAACTCTGATCATTAGAGAAAGACTGTCACTCCTTCCCCCCTAGCTTCCTGCCCATAGACCTCCTTCCCCTGGACTGCACTTGTTGATTTCTTTCTTCTAACCCACACCCCGTGCACCATGACAGTCCTGCTTGTGTCCCTGCCCCTGGAGCTGCTCTCCATGAAGTCCCCAATGCCCCACATACGTAGGAGTCAATGGACGCTTAGTCTTCATTTAACTGGCCATTTCTGTGCCATTTGTTACAGCTGATGACATCTTTCTTGGCTACCACAAAAGCACCCTCTCAGCTGTTCCTTCTACCTTTGCAATGGTTTTTTTCTCAAATTTCTTCATAGGTTCCATTTTTTTTGGCCTGCCCTTCTAAATGTTGATGTTTCTTGGGGTCCACCTTTGGCACCTTGCTCTTTTCACTTGATATGTCATCCCTGAAGGACTTCATCTACTCCTATGCCTTCAACAATCTTTTATGTATTTCCCAAATCTCTGTCTTTATCACAAACATCTCTATTGAGTTCCTGGACGCCTACAGGATCCCTCATCTCAACAGGTCTCACATGTGATGCACCGTCTCCCCCCTGGTCTATTCTTCCTCTTCACTCTCTAACAGCATCACCTCCTTACAGTCACCGGAGCCAGATACCTGAGAGTCATTGTAGACTTGCTGTCTCTTTCATCTCCTGGATCAAGTCCTGTCCATTCTGCCCCCTCACATTTAATGATCTCTCCTTGATTTACACTGTCCCTGTCCTGGTCAGGCTCTCATTCCTTCCTCACAGATCACTGCCAGCATAACGCATCTCTGCCCCTGGCCTGGCTTCCCCATCCATTCTCCTCATTCCTGCTTGAGGAAGCTTTCTAAAATGCAAATATTTATTCCTGAATATAGTGCCTACCATACTAACTATTTTGCGTATTGTCTTATTCAATTCTCAAAACATCCTTAGGAACCAAACGAAATCATTGGTGTATTTTGCAGATGAAGAGCTTTAAGTTTCATACAGTGACATGGTGACTAAATCATGGAACCAGAGGCCAAAGTCCGGAGGTCACAGTTTGACCGCCCCCTCTCCCCCCTGCTCTAATGCATGCTCACATTCTCTCTCAAGAGTCTCAGAGTTCTGAGGATAAAGTTCAGGCTCCTTAGTTTAGTATTTAATAAGGCTCTTATAACATGGCTTTGCTTTATGTCTCTATTTTTATCTCCTCCACACACACTATTTGCTAGAGCCATTCACAATAAACTGAGATTTGCCCAAATGCATGGTATTTGCTTGTTTATTTGTTTTGGAACGGTTTGTCAAACATATGACACTTTACTGAACATTTGTACTGAAAAGAGCATTTAACACAAGTGTTCAAGTCAATTTATTTCACAAAGCATACCAACCAGTGTGATCAGCACCCAGATCAGGAAACAGAAAGCCAGCGCCCTGGAAACCCTCTATGGCCCCTCCTGTCATTCCCACACAAGGGAACCAACATCTTGACTCATAACACTCAACATTGAACCTTGCTTTTTTCACTCTACTACACCCTCCCTGAGAGTTTCCCCACATTAATAGGAAAGACCTGCATCCCATAGGCATTGGGTTGGGACCATTGGTGGGTCTTGGCCTCTCTCTGAGCCCCTGATGTTCCAGTTATTAAAGACTTTGAATATCACCTGCATCATATTGTTTTATGTAGCAGACATAGTTTCCTCTGGGTAAACTATTCTCACCTCCTCTCCTTTACCTCCTTCCCACTTACTCTCTGTAAAAAGTACCATCACCCTATCCATCTCTCAACTCCTGTCCCAGGATCTAAATCTAAGGTACCTCTCTGCATTGGCCTTGTCCACTGGACTGCTTGCTACCTGGATATACTGGTACTTGCTGTCTCCTCTCCTAGATTGTAAGATGCTAGAGTAGGGACTGACCATATTTACTTTGGTATTTTTGGCTTTGAGCATAGACCTAGTTTATGGTAACCTTTCAACCAATGTTGCATAAATAAAGCCAATGCACGCATGAATGAGACCCACGGGTTAACTGGAGACGCCCCTCTTTTCTTAGAGATCTTTTAGAGACTCTCTTTGCTTTATATGTGGTTCTTCCTGGTTCACTGACCCGAAGTTACATCCAGCCCTACAAACAATTGTTGTTTCTCCTTAACCCTGGGACAGAAATAAAACTGGCTGCAGAACTTCAAGTGAACGGCATGTTCCCAAAGACATGTGCTTTCCATGAGCGAATCTGGATGCTGAAGTACACTGCGAGAAGCTTGAAGGATGCATTGAGAGATGAAAGGAAAAAAGCAATGAACAGCAACAACAAAGAACAATACCCTGGGGCCAGGGGGAGGAGGGAATGTGGATTTTGGTACAAAGAGACGGGTCTGATTAATGCATGCTGCTGTTTGCTATTTTGGTTTCTGCTTAGATTTATGTTTTGATACCAGACTTTCCTTTCAGAACATGTCAAGTCAGCAGGCGATTGGGCGGTGGAGTCTCTTCCATTAAAATAGCACATCTTATAATGTGCCACGCACCGCTGGGTCCCCCTCTTTGGAGATGAAAGATTTAAGCATCGTTACTGCCATTGCACACACACAGATTAACCAAGCCAATCAGGCCCTCTGCTCTTCTTTTTTTTCATTTTCCAAACTTTCACTGGCTGTGACCTAAGACCTCGGTTATGGTCAGATAAGACCATTTCTTCCCACCATCCATGCCAGCCTTTGAAGCAAGGGCTGCCGAAACCTCTGCAGCTGTGGGCCCCCAGGCACTCTTTGATGTCCCGGTTGGTTTTCATGAGAAGGGTTTCCGCTGCTTCGGGTGCTTGTGAGCTCTCGAGGAGTTCTGGGAATCCTGCTGCCAATTCTCTTCCGCTCAGTTTCTCTTCGTGTGTGACTCACTTGTCTTTAGCGCGGGCAAGTGTCCTCAACAGTGGGCAGGAACATGCACCAGAGCTTGGGCATGAAGGGCACCAGGCCCTGGGAAACAGCCATGCCGACTTTGAACATGGCTTGGGAATGGCTTTTCTCCCAACAGGAGTTATAAGAGCGCCGCCACCGCCTCCGAACACTTCATGTCCGCGCTGTGCTTTCCCCTCATTCACTGATCCATTCCACAGCTGTTTATTGAGCAACTACTATGAGCCAGACAGTTCTCTTGACACCAGGGATTCAGCAGTGAACAAACCAGAGAGGAGTCCCTGCTGTCATAGAACTTACATTTCAGTTGGGGGCGAATGACAAAACCAGTACGTACATGGGGAAAAGAAAGGTGGTAAGTGCTTTGGAGGGAAATAAAGCAGGGGGTGGGCGAGCATGACTCTGCACCAGCCTTAGCATCTGAGAAGCAGGTAGAGGCTCCATTTTACATCAGAGACAAAGGGAGGCTTGAAGAGATGAAGAAACTGGTCCTCTCATTTGCTCCCACATCCAGTCAGCACCCGGTTCTGTGGGGTCCAGCAGCGCTTCATCTCCCGGAGTGCCCACCCATCTCACCTTCCCTCTCCAGCCCGATGCCAGTGTGGCCTCGTCCCCCTCTCACTGCTGCCAGGGTGATCTGTACAAAATGTACACTGGTTACATATGCCTACAACATTCAGTGGTACCTCGTTGTTTTGG